TAAGTTGGTAATAAGTCAAAGGATGTTTGTGATTTTTGCAAAAAAAGCTCTGAGTCAGGCAGGAAACGTGCTTGTGAAGTATGAGAATAAAAAAGTTAATGAAAAGAAATCTTTAGATGATGTTACATATATATATTCATCATTTTGGTGACAACTTTCATTGTTTGTTTCAATCAGGATACAAATTTTATAAATTTCCGATATTTTAGAAATGGATGAATCAATCCTATAATTAAAGGCGAGGAAAATAAAAGGACAATGAAACAGGGAAAACAAAAGATATGTTCTTCAGACGCAGAATTTTATTTGCATGTTATTTGCTGTATTTCGCTGCACAAAAATATTATACGTAATTTGAAAGATTTCGAAGATATTTAACATCGCATAAATTACTTTAAAAAAGAAACATCAGAGATCAATAGTTACAATGGCAAAGGAACAACTTTTTCTTTTTTTCGTTCGAGGTATCTTTGTCGAATTTCTTCAATTTTCTTTGAATCATTCCGATGAGCTAATATTGTTTTGATTATTTGCAGTCTGTAAAACGACAATACTTATTCCTTGTAAGCATAAACAAAACAAAAAAAATTCCACATTTTGTAATAAAAATGAATAGTTAGAAACACAATTTCAGCTGAATAAGGCAGGCTTGATTTCAAGAATTTGCACTTTATTTCATTTAAAGTTCGAGGAAGATTGCTTTTCAAACCTTTCTTCTTTAGTTTTCTCCTTCACAGTTTTTTCCCTCAGTTTATGATTCTCCTCTTTTTCAACTTTTTGTTTTTCTTCAGACTTCTTATGATCCTTTTTTTCCAAAGAATGGTGTTCACGAAATTTATCGTGATGTCTTGCAGAACTTTTTTCTCTGCGCAATTTAGAGCTGAAATTAAACATAATACAATATAGTTTGTAATTAAAGTTTCAAAAAACAAAAAATCAAAAAATCAGTTTATCTTATTTTACCTTTTTTCCTGTCGCTGTCTTCCACTGCTGTGTTCTCTGCCATGTTCGTATCCCTCCACTCGTTTTTTCCGCCCCTTTGACAACTCCTTATCGCTGCTGGTGCTTGCTGCCAGATGATCTGGAGATGGCGTGAAATGCCGTCGAATTTGTTCCGCCTTTGTTGGTTTTTTGACTTGCGGTTTCTAAAAAAAAGAATTTCAAATAAACATCACGGCAGAATCTAGATTAGCATAATTTATTTCAACATAATTTGAAGCTTGAAAACAATAAAATCTTACAAAAACACATAAGATAATAAATACTTGATCAACTTTAGAATTCTCTGAAATTTGAATAGAAATTTTAGAGAATACAAATTTGTTATTTCGTTTTGGCTTCCTTTTTAAAGGAATATATATTTTTTGTGGAGTGTTCCATCATTGTGTATATGGAGAATACTTTGAAGAAACTGAAAGAGACCAAAATATTTAAACCAGGCTTCAGGTCTACTGATACTGCGCTGTCCAACTCTGTCTCTTCGTCTGAATCATCGGAATATATCGATTTCTTCGTCGGCTTATCAGTGGACAATTCCAGAAATCTGTCATCACTGTTGCTGTCTTTCCGCAAAGAAGAAAGCTTTTTAGCATGCTCGGCGGGATCCACGATTATCTGTTGCAGATTTACGGGACTTATCATCTAAAATAACACACGTATACCGTGTTAAAATGAATCCCGATTCCTTGGCAAAAAAATTCCCATTTTTATATTCAATTCTAGATTAAATAATGAATACAACAAAAAACAAAATAATGAATAAATAATGTCTACGATGAATAAAAAATACACTCATATATTTAACAAACAACCAAATCTTGTTCTGAGATTTTCCAATTAAAAAAATCTAATCATAAACCTCTTGCTTTATGTCGTTTCCTTTAGTTTTGATTGTATTATCTCCAGCAATATCATCCAACAGCGTCCTATAAAAGCCACCTTTCCACACACCACTATTTTGCTTTTCCACTGCTGTCAACTCTAAAAAACCAAATTCCGTCTAGCTGATAGTTTTTAAATCATATACATCTTGATAATGCATGTACTAAAAATACTCAAAAATTGATTAAACTAGTAATTTTCGTGTAGCTGTGTTGCTTCAAGCCAACATTCAGATAAGATGATTGATTGATGGAAATTTGGCGATCTAACCTCGATGAAATGTTGCCTTCTAAACGGGAAAGATTTTAACTTACAGAAAATGAAAATGAACCAACCATCAAGTCGATTGTCAACTGCTTCTTGTAAACGGAAATTTTCCATTTCTGTTAACTGTTTTTTATATGCACTTGTCACGAATTTCTGAAAAATATATTTTCTGAAGCAAAGAATCAACAAATTAAAAAAATTATATATGAACTGCAACACACCTCCTTATCATCAAATTGTCCAGCTTCTGCTTCACGTTCTTTCTGTTGTTTACGCTCTTCTCGACTTTGCTGTGCAAGTAAACGCTTTTTGTGTGCTTCGAGAATCTGCTCTGCGTACTTTGACTAAAATATCTGTGCTCAAAATATGGTACAGTAGATTGATTTGAGACATCTAATTATTCGAAATCGAAAAATAAAGGATAACAGATATCAAACTACTCATCAGTATTGAATCCACTCCTCCAGAGAGAGCCGGGATTATAACGATACTACAGAACAAGTAAACAATTTAATATCGAATTAAAAGACTAGCGAGGATTTGAAAAGAAAATTATTCTCTTTTAATGCAAACATTACAGTCATTACTATCAGTTAATTTACAACGAATCTGAAGAAAAACACAGAAAAATAAAAAATCAAGGAATTTTAACCCACAATTGTATGTTTCAAAATATTATATAACAGTGCAAAATCAAACGTATCAAAAATGCAGTTCAAGTCTACAAAATATTAATAGTGACTCACATTGGGAAACTATGAAAATTTGCTAATGAATTGGCATTTATGGTATTCACATTGCCATGCAAGGCAATCTTTTATTACCTTAAATAAAACTGCAGTTACTGAACTTTGTACTCTAGCCCTCGTAATTACGCAAACTCAGAAATGAGTCTTCAACAATGAAAAAAAAACTAAGTGTACCTTTCGTTCCTTATCTGCAGCTTTAATTTCTGCAACTTTTTGATTTTTTTTTGCTTGTAATTCATCGTATACGTTATCATAATCAAAAATTGTTGGGTCTTCCGCAAGTGCTCTTTCATGCTCACGTTTTGCTTGCATTTTTGCACGCACTGTCGATGAAGTGATCTCGCTTGATGATGCAGTCTATGAAAACAATATGCAATTGAAAATTAATGATTGGAGCTCATTCTATCTTTGATGGCAATTTTTGCATTAGATAAGTTTCTGAAACTGAAAGTACCTCGACTCCATCATCGTCGTCACTTGTAAATGCTGCAGCAACTGGCTTAACGACCGGTTTCAGAAGTTCAGATGGCTTTTTTAAAATCAAACCATATCTAAATAGAGCGCCTAAGAATTTCGAAATCATAAAATGAAATAAGAAAAGCTTCAGAGCAAGATATATTACTTCTTTAATGTTGTTGTCGACATCTGGGATGACCAATAATCAGTGGTTATCAAGAAAGAACGTCCTGCCTGCTTTGTCTGGATTTCTAATCTTGTTCTGGAAAAAACAACCCTACATCGAATTTGAGTTTTATTTGGAACCCGAAACTCACTATTTTTCTCAAAAAACTATACTTTTCTATTATTCAACTAGTCCATATAGCCTCCGTCAACACTGCAAGTTGCTATTCTTTAGAAGTATAAAATTATTTGGAATATAAACTCTTAGTCACGAAAAACATTAAATCATGAAGCCATTTATTAGAAGAATAAAAAAACCAATAGAAAAATAAACCGTAAAATGAAGCGAAACTCAATGCTAAAAGAGATATCACAGGATATGCACCATTACAGCATAAATTAGAAGCAGTAATACAAAACCATAAAAATTTTAGCATTATATTTAAAAAATCTGCTTCTTCCGTTTACATGTTAACTGAAAGACAAATTTCACTTTCAGTCACAGGCTTTTTGGTCTTCCAAAAGTCCTAAGTTTCTTAGATTAGAGAATGTAAAAAATTCTTTTAGGAACAGTCAGAATAAGTAAAGAGCAGGCATTGGCAAATAAATTAAGAAAGAACAGGAAAGACTAGGAACAGTAATACAACATGGAAAAATCAAATAGTAATTTACAAACTTGTTATTGCTTTGACCAAAAAAAGTCATTTAAAACGAACCCTCCATAAAAAAGAGCTTTTAATAGGGAATAAAACAACTGATTTATAGTTAAAATATATAAAGATGCCCAAAGTTAAAATACAATAATTCAAAGACATGATGGAGTGAAATACAGTCGAAAGTATTTGACCATGAAATTGAAAAGTAAAAGCGTAAGTGGTTTGCCTTGAACTAACATGAAGTAATCTGAATTCTTGCTGCTTGCTCTGTGTAAAAATATCCGTAATAATAAGCGAAAACAAATAAGAAAGTGAAATAATCATTTTTAACAGAGTGCCGTTTAATAACAGATACAGCAAGAATGAATATCTTCACTGGAAGTTATTAAATCACACTTAAGCATATTTTAGTAGATGAGTTGAAAAATGTCATTTCTAGAAAGCAAAACAATTCTCAAACCACTAGATATATCTATCATTCGAGACCAAAATAAGTATTAACTCCCTTTACAAAAGTGACAATTAATGGCTGCCATGCAACCAGATACCGAATCCAATCTAGTAGCTGTCCATAGAATAGATGAGGTTTTTGCCATCTAAAATAAAATTGCAATGAGTTCACTTAAAATTTCAAAATTCTGTACGAAAAAAGCAAGCTGAACTAACTCCTCCTGAGCGGCCTATTTGTCAGCATCTTATAAAGTATTCATAGTAGTATATCGTGCCCCACAAAATGATAATTCAAACAACAGTCGGAGTATCAATTTGCTTCCATAAAAATTTAGTCCAATGATAGAACTTACGGATGCTTAAACATCCTTTTAAGATCGACTTTCTCCTTGCAATACGGGCATGTCTGCTGTTTACCAATAACACACCAACCGCGGATGCAAAATTCGTGAAACAAATGTCCACATGACAAACGATACGTTGATTCATAGTCGGTTTCCGTATCGTCTATTTCAAGATGATTACCACACACTGCACAGACATCTGCTTCAAGAATTTTCCTGGGTAAGCCTTCTTCTGTGTAATACTATAAAAAGAAAATTTAAAGACGCATTTTAAAATCCTTGCATAAAGAAAAGAAAAAAGAGAAAGAAACGAACCCCAATTTTAGATGCTATACGATCAGTACATATATGAGCGAAATCACGACCCAATACTCCATAATATAAGCCATAAAACAAAAGTAGCAAACCAGCGTCCATTAAGATCCTTGCTTTTATGGCGAATATATGATTCAAACCCAGTAATGTGAACATAATAAAAATATATCCTGCTATCCCGAGAACATAACTTAGTTTGTGCAAAAATAAGAACCATTTATAAACCAATCTGAAAAAATGACAAACTACATGTCCAGAGATATTCTATCATCGAAATTATTACTATAAGTAGTGTTGATTATAACGTCTGATAAAAGAATGAGGCTTTTAAAAAGCTCATTCTTTTATCAGACGTTGTAATTAAAAAGCCTCATTCTACGTCGCAGTAGTTTACGTTGATATAATTTCATAGAAACGGAAAAATTTCTCGAACTTAGAACAAATTATAAAGTATTAGACAAGGAAACCAGCATTAAAAAAAATCAAGGAAAATTAAAACTAAAACATGCAACTAACCTTGGTGTTTTGCCTGATATTTGTGGACGAGTAGCCCTGTACCAAACCATTGTTGATAATATGGAGTACACAATCCATGTTATCAAAAATCTCCACCAATATCTCTGGACACATATAAATACAGGAATTAACCACATGCCCAGAAGTGTGCATAGCTGAAAAGGAGTTGTCAGAAATCAAAAAAATAGCAGAAATCAAGAATAGATTGCACAAGGATACATGACGTTCTTTGCTTAAAAATAATAACATTTTATAAATTTTATTCCTACTCATATGCAGTAGTATGATTCTGAATTCATCAAACTGTTGATATTTTAAACAAGTGGATCAAGCAAGATGAAATAATGGTTTGCATCATTAAAATGCATTAGGAAAGTCAATTAGGGTCTCGTCTAGCGTACAGCACAGTGCTCAAAGCAATAACCATTGAAACTCAGTTTAGAACACAGTAACAAAAACTCTCAACTAAGATTATGGTAAAGGATCACAAATTATGCAGACTGAGAATAATGACTTATCTGATAAGGATTTTGAAAACAAACTTGATACGATTTGAAGTGCCTTTTCTTCCACTGTACCAATGCAATTTGTGCTACAACTAATGTTACTATCAGTATCAAAAAGATTTCCATATGCATTTGTTCATGTCCTCGATGCTTTTCGTGCAGTTTCGCGTGCTCAATTCGCCACTGCTCTTCCTCATCCAATTCTTCAAACTGAAAATTAAAATCATCCTCAAAATTTCGGTTTTATTTTTAAAAGGTCATAACATAGTGAAAGGCGAAGGGAATAAATCAAAAGAAAAAAGATTAGGCAGAAATAGCACGAATCCCAGCACATTGACAACTCTCCTCAAGTAAACTTACTATTCGAATTAACACATTTTGTTGCGAAATCATAAAAATATCTTAGGATGTATACCCAGAATACTAGAGATTTAGCACTTTAACCACTGCCGTGAATTTAAATAAATTCTATCACTTATTATTAGTTCTTATCTACTTTAAATTAGCCTGTTTTTTAGAAGAACGTCAATCATTAATTCATTGTACGCGTAATGAAACTGGACGATATATTAATAAATGTTCACTGGATGAGAACTGTAATGCATTAGTTGGAAGTTGGCAAAGACATTACCTTCTCTTCCTACTCAGTATATAATATTATATATATTGTCAATTCAATAGAGATTGTCTTAACAGGACTGAAATATATCATGATAACGCTACAGTATAGGTATAGTATTAAAATATATTACATTGAATAAAAAAGAATTGAAATGAAGGAAAGAGGAAAGAAGGCCTACTGGAATTTCATTCTGTAATCGAATAGCTCCTTGAAATTGTTGTGCATTGTGTTGCTGCATCCTTACGCTCAGGCACTGCGCTGTTATGCAATCGAACTAAAAATTAAGAGCTAATGGACTGGTAGTAGCCAGTGAGAGCATATCTGTCATTACTGCTTGTAAAATAATAAGCAATTATAGATATGTTCATAGATTGTATTTTATTATTTATTAATGTATGATTAGACACTTCTCAGTATTTAATACTTATTATAGTCGAGATATGATGTCAGTGTTAAAAATGACAGTATGCATACGTCGAAATGATTAGAAATATGATTATGTTAATACAAGGTGTGCTCAGAATATAATTAATTAATGACTGCGATTACTTAAAGCACTATTTAATTGCGTTACCTGCACAAACCCTCCGGATCTTCCGTTCTGTTAAATAAACATCTGATCCGGCAGCTAAGTTTCAACATGCTGAAAAACATAAAGAGTTCGAAATTTTTCAAAAGAAGCGGTTTGTAACGCAAAGATATACGGACATCAAGTAGCAGAAGAGGACGATACAAGTAGACGTCATGCGTAACGTAATTTGCGTGGTTCACGGTTTCTAATGTTTTTTTTGTTACATGGGATGCTTTGAGGGTGATGCTTTTTTGTTTCTCAAAGTGAAAGAGTGGATGCAATCAAATTTGTTAAATTTGTTTGCATTTGCTTTTAGAGTCAGCAATCCGATATTTTCAATCATTAATCTTAAACAAGGTAAGGAAACTGGTTTTCGTGTTCTTTCAGGTTTTTGATTGGCTTTTGTGGGAGATAGCGTAGTCAGTGATAATATCAGTACCGTGCACTCTGTTCTCAATAATTTTCTCGGCAACACTGAACAATGGTAGGTGTCACTCAAATGGAAGATGCTGGAAGTCATTCCTCTTCTTCGAAGGAAGATGGCAAGAAGGACGATGATACGGCAAGGTATGTTTATTCCTTTATCTGACTGGCAATATTGTTAGAGCAGAGCGGGTTACTTTTGCTGTAAGATATTTTTATGGCCGGTTAGAGATGTGACATTTGTTCTAATCCGTACCCATACTCCTTGAGTTTTCCGAAACGATTTATTTTCGTTCCCTAATAAAGTGACTGTAGGGTGTGTGAATATCTCAAATATAGAGATGTGAGCCGATTAGACTACAATTTTCAACGAATTTTTCAAAGGAAATTAATAACCAAAGAGTAGCTTACAGATTCGATTGTAACATATGTTTGGATGTGGCACGAGATGCCGTAGTCTCGATGTGTGGCCATTTATTCTGTTGGCCATGTCTTCATCAGTGGCTTGATACACGCCCTAATAGACAGCTTTGTCCCGTTTGCAAATCTGCCATTAGCAGAGATAAGGTTTTTTTTTTGGTCTGACACTACAGTGAAAGAATACAGTGCAGATCTAACATTTGAGCCAAGTTACAATTTTATCAAGAAATGATTCCTTGAAATATTTAAATTACTTCAAACAGGTGATACCACTGTATGGAAGAGGTGGTAATGATACAGACCCACGAGATAAAGTCCCACCGCGTCCAAGAGGTCAACGAACCGAAACCCCTCAGGCAAGTTCTCAACATTGTCATGTTTTTGTGACAAGGATGCAATTATTTTTAAAGTGCCATCACGTGAGGTACATTTAATTTTTGGTGAATTGAGCTTAGTGGATCTTGTTAATATTCACGTGAGTGTACAATTTGCAGAACAGTTTAATATAATCTTGGTCGAAAAGCACCGTTGTGCAACACTTTTTTGTTTCAGAGCTCTTTTCAAGGATTCCCAGGCTTTCAATGGGGCGGTGAAAACGGTGGTGGAGGTGTGCAGTTTTCAATGGGTATCGGAGTGTTTCCCATTTCGTTTTTTGCATCATTTTTCAATACCGGCTTTGGAGAACGACGTCCAGAACCGCGTTAGTTTCCCTGCTCCATTCATTTATTTTTGTAATCATTCGATTTCTTGTTTTGCGTTTTTTCCTGTGACGATGCAATTTGAGACTGAATGGTAATTTTTAGCGGCGCCAGGCACAAGACAAGCAGAAGAGGAGCAATTTCTATCAAATCTTTTTATATATCTTGGTATATTTTTCGTCGTGTGGCTTCTAGTTCTATAAATATCACCTACGGACAGCATGAATAACTCAAGAATGCTGAAATATTTAAATTCATACATTTTCACCTATTTTCTCTTCTTGCTTTCTTTTTATTCTGTGCACCTTAAGCATGCTTAATTATTTACATGATTATCTCTACTTACACTTGCTCCCAGCCCTAGTTTGATGGCTCGAATTATATGTAGATATCCAGATAATTCTAAGTATTCGAGGACCCGTTTTTATTGAAAGAATGTGATCTCTGTTAGACATGTCTTCCGGATTTAAGTCCAGCTTTAAGAGACATTTTTTAAGAGGCAGTCATTTAATTTGTACAAACTTATGGGTACTTGCTTGCAACTGTTGATTGCGTATCTTGAAATTACTCATACTTACAAGTTCTTTTTAATTATCTTCTATCAATTTATGTTGAGCTGCGAAGAACATAAGCCGATTGTAAATCGACCTGAGAACTGAATTTTTCATGTTTTATTACCATATTCATCGTACATATCGTTTCTGGAAGAACTGAGTGCTAATGGCGGCTTCTTTAGTTATTGTCATGAATGCAAAAAAGAAAGTAAAAATAACTTAAGAATGCCTAGTAATACATTACTAGCTCACTGAAATGTAGAGTGAGGTGCAGCACTTCAAGCGAAGTCATTTTTTAGCAGATTTGGTTATAAAGAAGTATTATTAACAAAAAAGAATTGCGATATTTTCATGTGTTTATTATGATATTTCGTTAGGAAATTTCAGCTTGCAACTCAAAAACTTTCAGAGAAGCAAATGGCAAAAATGCCGATCATTTTTGCCTGTTTTTTATCAATGTATTATATGTCTAGGGCATTTTTTCGACACTGTAGAATCATATGCTATTAGATCTACTGTGATATTATCAATATCTCTGTTCGCTTCTAAATTTCATTCTATTACGACCAGCTATGCATAAGAACATTGTCAGACTTCATGCGACTTTTGGTAGAAGTGCTACACCAGCGTACGATCTTGGTTGATTGATTGATACACTAAGATGAGTCCAGGGCTGTTGTTCCAGCGATGAAACTGTTAAAACTTCAATTGAACTCAAATTAGATGTTCCATCATCGCCTAAATTGACAATTTAAATGCAGGTTGAGAGAAAACATTTAAGCAGTGTAAAAAAGTATGAGGCAATTTTTTAAGAACTCTACTTTTACTACTCCTTGCTTCATTACCGAATGTCAACTTGCCGAAAGATTTTCACTGTAGATTAAAAAGAAAGAATTAGTTTACCTCCGATTGCGAATAAATTTGAATCCAAAGCTACGGCACTTGCATTGCGGCGACATACATTCATTTCCGGCAAAAGTGTCCAAGAGTCACCATTTAAAATCTGCAAAACAATAATAGTTATTTAAAATCGGTATTTCTTCGCTAAAAATCAATCTCGCTCAGATTTGGACTTCCAAATGTTTGATTCTATTTAAGAAAAGATCGACCTCAGCTGTTTCTCTAACCAATGGACCGTCATGTCCTCCAACAGCGACAAGGCGATCGCCAACAACTGTAACACCTGCACCAGAACGCTTGGATATTAAAGTTGGTCCAGGTCGCCATCTATTCACTCGTGGTTCATAAATTTCAACCGTATCCAAACAGTTCCTAGTATTTCCATCGTAACCACCCACAGCATATACCATACCACCAAAAGCTGTGACACCAACCGATGAACGACGTACGGTCATCGATGGGAGAGGCATCCACTGACCTAAATTTAAGATTTTTACACTATAATTTTTTTATATCTGAAGTGAAAATCATATAATCAAGAGTATTAAAATCACGATAAATTAAAAACGACAAAAAAAACCGTTGCGAGGGTCGAACGCTTCCGCAGAGCTTAGTCCGGTTGAACCATCGAAACCACCAACAGCTATTATCAGCTGATCGATGACTGCCACGCCTAATGTGCTACGCCTATAATGCCTATTATTTGGAAAGTGAAATCCAACCATTTACTTATGGAAAAAAATCATTTGCATATTTAAAAATAGAAAGATTCCTGAAGATGTCACATATTCCTAACGTCCGCACAAAAATATATTAGGCCTCTCTGACAATCAGTTAGCATCCAATACTGCTCCATACCAAACATGAGACACTGTTACAAAATTCGCTTAAAAGTTTTTCCAATAGTTTGGATTGCTTGACTTTATTTGACCAATGTATTGCAATATTTTGCAGTTTTTAAAGATTCCGGAAATATAACCAACAATTACTATCTTCTGTGATATGTAAACAAAGCGGGATGTCATTTTGAAAGCGCAGATGAAAACAAATGTATAAGTATTCTCTTTATATGCACCAAATTCCCTTTATCAATTACATATATAAATACCTTGCATCCATCGGCGGTCCAGCAAACCATCTGTCAATGTGCACATCATAGACATCTACAGATTTTACACGCAGTGACCCGTTAAATCCACCAACTGCATAAACGAAATCTTTCAGTTCTCCGACACCGCAACGACAGCGACGTTGGGGTAAAGCATTTACTACAACATTAAAATATTACCAACGTTCATCTCATACTTTCATCTCCTCCAATCCTTGAACTTACGCGGTGTCCATCGTAAGGCATCCAGATCGAATACATCAACATTGGCAATAGCTTTAGGCGCTTGACCGCCAATGAGCATTATAAGCTAAAACGGTTACTTATTAATCATTCTTACTCCTTTTTAGACATATTATTAGGATGCTAAACTTTTTATAATATATAAACAATTTATAATATATTAATAACACCTTCGACAATGGAATCGGCTGTCGCGGACGGTTACGTTCATTTTCTTCACCGCGTTCTTCTTTCAAATGATAACGGTAAGCTTCCAGAAGATAATCCTTACATTCTGAACTCTGTCGAACCAAAATATCAGGATCAACCTTTAAAAATCCCATCAGAAAATAGATAAAAATATGATCAGTAAATTATATCTAACGCCATAAAACTTTAATACAGTACCTGACATTGCATGAAATGCAAAAATTCCTTACAGTTTTTTTACCAAGCTAATCTGCCCTCAGAATTGATGGACTAATGTTGATAATAATATATTGGGAACAAGACTCTGATATTTTTCTTAATTTTAAAAATTAGTAACTAATAACTTTATCAGTTAAGTAGTCACGCGGTAGCAAAGGCAAGCGAACATGTGCCAAAAGCTCTGAAAATGCATCTTTGCGATTCAAGAGATCATGGGTTACCCACCGTACAACTGCTTCATAAACCTAAAATCCTTGTCATTATTATGAATGCAGTCTTCAATCTAACTTTTTTTTCGACTTAATGAATTCACTTGATAAAATGACATAAATTAGCTAAATTTTCTGTCAAATACTCTAGCTGCGGTCATCGAGAAACTATTCTCTCGTCCCAGAACATCAAAATTTGAAGTCATCCATTATCTATCATTTATGCTATGTTTTGCAAACCTTGTCTTCACCAGTAGTTGTTAGATGATCTGACGAGATTATTTCAATCACCTGATCTTTATTAAGCGCCAGAAATTCATCACATTTTACCACATAACTATAAGATGAATATATGTGAAATTTAAATAAAGAATTTTTGAAAAGTTGAAAAGGCCATTTCGATTACTACTGCTCATTTAAAACAAAAAGAAGTTTGCATATCGAACTTGAAATGTTGTTGAACAAATGTGGTAGCAGCATGTGCAAGTTGTGTGCAATAGTGCGTCGTAGCAAAATTTGCAATACCAAGGCAGTTAGATGGATCCAATTGATCCAGAAGAAATCTGGAACACGCATCACGCACACACGACATCTAAAAAAGTTATAAACTAAAGATTTCGAAGAAAAATCAAATTTGAAAACCAAATACACTAATAACAATTTCACATATGCATAGAGAATTTATTTATATAGCCAATGAATAAAGAATGTCGGACATAGAAGAGAGCGAAGACCTCTTCCAGGATAGAAAGACATACAACTGTATAAATTTAATAAAAATACTACATAAAATACCACACAAAGCAATAAATTCATCATATCAGGGAAGAACAGAGCGAACTATCGAAATAAAAATTGCAATCTAAGTACAGGTTAAACTACAGAATAATAAATTCATCTCAGTAAAAAGTCATATAATGGAAAGAAATGTTAACCTCAAGTTGTGATGCAGTTGTCAGGAGACTTTGTACATTTTGCTCGTTTATTGTTAGTCGACCAGAATACATGAAATCAATCAATGCAATCAATGATGTCCCATCCATTCCCTTCAATTGAAGCGAATTCAGAAAAAAAGTCTGCAGTTAAGTCATATAAATAATGCAAATATACTTAATTGAAAATATTTATATAGAAATGAGAGAAATGCTCGTTGAAGAAACATTAATTATAGCAAAAATAAGAGCAACTTTCCCTTAAATTAATCTGGAAATAGATGAGTAACCTTCAAAAATATGTTTTGTTGTTTCGATTCCTTCATTGCACTCTTAAACATTGCGCTAAAATATGGACATGCTGCAGCAAGTATTGCTCGATGGGCAACAATCCTAACATCTCGACTCCCATCACTTTCTGCTCCATCTTCTGGCTTCAGAGATGCTGTCAAAATTACATCACAGAAGCGTTCATCTCTGTAAGGCATTAAAAGTAAAATCTGATGGCGAGTGATTGGTTGACAAGCATTAACAATTACCGCTATTAGAGATCGACCGTAAGTTCAAAAGCAGGCGAGCTCCTGGAACTTCTTGACATATCTTTTATTTAGGTAAACCATCCACATACTCAATTTAGGTAGACCAACAGGCGAAAATATATTTAATTAAAAGGTGTACAAAGGTGTCTCTTCTTAAAAAGCTTGCTATAAAAAAGAAATAAAAAACGAATTTAACTAACTGTCTAAAAGCGCTGAGATTACGCAATACACTTGATGGGAAATTATCATTGTTATAAGTTTGTTCATTGTTGATATGTCGAGCTGAAGATGATGGAGAAGTACAGAAATGAGTTTCACTCTCCAACGTACTTATTACTTCAGTCGATTCGCTTTCTGCCCTCCAACGCTCCATTCTGCTATTAATTTATACTGTACTATATTATGAGATCCAATCGATTTGATTCTTAATCCCTGTAGTTCGAAAACAACTAACCTCCGTGAAGTGTGATAAACACAAAACTTCAACATCAATATATCATAAAAGTGTCATGAAATGCTAATTACTAAAGGAAAGTAAGAAAAATAAAAAACGATATTTATCATGAGTATGGTGGCTAAATCATTTTACTAATACAACACCTGCTTTAATTGCATTCTCACTAACCATGGAAACTTAGGACGAAATATGTGAAAAAAAAAACTCTCCACACATTCATCTTTCAGACAAAGTAAACTACAGCTCAAAGAATGGTTCCAATAGCTCGAAAAGAAATTGTTTCTTCCACTAACTATCCAACCGAGGGTTTCCAAACTTGATAGGTGCGAATATATGTCATGCTTAGGAATACAAAAGATATCTGTAAATTAACGCTCATTGCAATTATTAAAACGTGGCGGAAAGTAGTCTAGCCACCAATTCTGAACAATTCCATGCCTTCTCGTCCTACAGTGGAAAAAAAACAGGAACTGAAAAAAATACAACGAAACCATAAATTTCAACATTCACAT